CATTTTCATCCTCCTCATCATCGTCATCACTTCACAGTCATCGTTATCGTCGTCATCATTGTCATCGTCATCGTTGACGTCATCATTGTCATCGTCATCGTTGACGTCATTGTCATCATTGTCATCGTCATAATCATAGTCACAGTCATTGTCATCATTTTCAATGTCATTATAATTGTAATCCTATAAGTATTTTTGGGGGAAGGGAGAGGAGGTTCGTTGGGGCAGTTTGGTTCAAACTGTTGAATAATCCCTTGTCAGGGGTAGGCAAGTCCCGACGATAAACGAGTAAGGAACAAGATTTATCAAAGTTGGAGAACACCAAAATGAATTGCGAATGATGAACACAAAAACATTTATGATAAATTTTCAAGACGCACACAAAGTGTGATGTGGCTCCTGTCAGTAATTCTGTCAAATTTCTCTACCCTCTCATAGCAATCGGCCATTTTGAATCATCTCTAGTTCATGCGCATGTACAGAGCTGGGTCTGTAGTGGTTACACGACGAACGGCCATTTGATTTGTTTTTTAATGAAAATATAAATTTCATCTGAGTTCCAGGTGAAGGATGTACAAAAAATGCAGTTGGAGCAAGATTTGGACCAAAAATTGGCTGCGAAATTAGATTTTGGCAAAACCAAGGCTGAAAAATGAGATTTCTACTTCACCCTCCATTCCTATTCATGGTCTTGCATACAAACTCTTGAGGAAAGTCTGATGAAATACAAGGAGGGTGTCATTTTATTTTAGAGGAGTATCAATGCTCCCTGCTGATTCTTGCGACTCTCTTCCTCAGCCATGCGAGTCTGTTAAATGGTCTCAAATGTTAAATTTATTTTCACCAACGATAAACTTACGATAACTGTGCGCACTACTGCGAAGATCGCTGTCAGATTCAAAACTTACGATAGTTGTCAAGAGTGATGGTTGCGAAAAGAGGCGCTTGATGTGGTTGAAGCCAAAAACAAACCCAATTTGAAACACAATGGACACGATCCAGCAGAACACTGTGATTCCCTTAAAAAAATTCACTCTTCCATTAGTAATTCCACTTCCATTGGTATATCTAACAATCGATATCCAGGCAGCTGACAGAAAAAGCTGTAACAAAAAAATTAAACTGTATTAGAAGTGTTATAACAACAAGTTAAAGCGTAGGTTTGTTGCAGTACCTGATGCTCACTAAGCCTGAAGTGTTAAATTTAAAAATTGTTCACAGAACTGTTTCGATTATGCTTCAAAGGAGCAGGCTCAAGAAGCGATCTTTCTTATAACAAATCGGTAGTTTATTGTGAAAACCATTTGTGGACTGAAGAACAACTACTCACAAACTCAACCACTCTCTCTGCAATCAAGGCACTTTGCCAGTAAGCAGTAGTCTTTGGCACGGCTGGCGCTGCTGCTGGCTGAACCGGTTGTACCTGAGGTTGTCCAACCTGTCCAACCGGTTGTTGAACATACTGTCCAGGAGAGGCCTGGGCCTGGACAAACAAGGGCTGGAATTGACCTGGAGGGACCTGGCCAACAGGTTGCTGATAAGGGAAAGCCTGGGTCCCAGAAGTTTGGTTCATTTTTCCAAGAGTTCTCGTTTCTCTGTTAAAGGAAACAATTCCTATAAATCTAATCAACCACAGTGAACTAAGCCTGACAAAAAAAGGCTGTGTTTCGAAATAAAGTTTTATCAGTCCGAAAATATGGGTAAATGATTGGTTCTGCGGCAACCTTTCGACTTCAAATGAGATTGACATGCCACTTCCCCTTACAATATATTATTTTACAGATCACTATACAAGGAATAGTTTTTCCAAGAGTGAATAATTTTCCAAGAGTGGATCAGTGTGTGAACGTTTTAGATGAATCTTCACTGTTACAACTACCACTCAATATTAGAATCTTGAAGGGAGAATTTGGAATCAGATCTTAAGATTTAGAAGGTTT